CGATCCAGTGCTGTTATCCTCTCGGACAAGTCTGGCACCAATTTGCCAACCCCGGAGGAATGGAAGGCTTGGTGGGTCATTTGCGCTTGGATCGATCACACGTGTGTGTTGCAGGGCACCTTAGACCAACTGCGCCACACGCTGCAACAAACACGCGATGATAATGACAGAACAACATAACCATTGATTTCTAAAAATAGCTTGCTATGCAATAGAAGCATAGTGTTTCTAAAATTTTTGACCACTGCTCAAATACGTATACGTAGCAGATTCACGAGATAATTGAAGGGTTAAAACACTACCTTAAGAATTACTCGTTCCGTTAAATGATTTAACACTTGCGCGCGATCCCCGATGAAGAAAGAATGTTATATACAAGCAAGCTGAAAGAAAGGAAGTATAAGATTTTCCTGAGTTTGATGAAGCAGGTTTGCCAATGATGCAACCTGCTAAGAAATTAGACGATTGCTGAATTTCATTAGCAGTATCGGCCCACTCGAATGCTTTTTGGGACAACTTTTCAGTAATGTGCTTAATGGAAACAGCAAGTCTACAACAGATACTAGAAAATCCATCATAACCGAAGGCGATAGACCACCCCGACGAAGTGAAGGTGTGGGATGTGCTCGGAAATCATTCACGCATATCTCGCCACCATGAGATGATAATAGAATCCCCCATAAGAAAAACGAAACGCACTCGAGAGGTGTTGAAACCCTTTCAGCTATAAAATCAAAGAAAAAACTACGAGCTATTCTTTAGGAAGTCCTCTCTACTTTCGTTCTCGCGCATACTAAGACAACCTACGCACCTTTCAAGAACTTCATCAACTGAGATTAGCGAAAAACATCGTTAAATTTTTTAAAAAAAAAGTGGCAATAAAGTGACGAACTCATTTTCACCGTCGCCCGCTTTGCATTTGGACGATGAATACCGATGATAGCGCTGTTTCACAGAAGTTTGGTGATGAGTTCTGAATTAAGAAAGCGATTGTCAATTCTCCACTGAGAACGCTACTATTTTATAGAGTTATTTTCAAGGTACTAGTTAATTTTGTTAAGTGTAAACGACGCGATATCAAGCAAACTATTACGAACCGAACCCTCAATGAAAACGATGAAACGAAATGAAAAGAAAATTTGAAAAAGAGCAGAGAATAACCTTCTACTTTAGAAGAAAAAGAATTCATTCGAAACAACACCTACTAACCGTTTTTGCCTCAGAAATGCCACCAACACACATGCGAATCCGACGGAAGCAAGAACAGTAACCGCTGCCAGAACTAGTACTGAGATGTGCACAATATGATCGTCTCCTTTCCACTGTGAAAGGACCGACGCTGAGAATGTGGAAGAGATATCTTCAGGAATCTGAAAGGATCCACGTTTCAGTGCGAGACGTCCTGATGTTGGACCCAGCATAAGGCTCTCAAGAAATTGAGCACTCCAGATTGAGCACCAGTGGTGTGAAGTGCATAGCTCAACAGCGTAAAAGTTGTTACTGAAGCCATCTTCACACTGAGATGTCCGCTCTTTCATATAAAAATGCATAAGTATATTTTGCCTATAAGAAGAATTTTTATTATGAATTAGAAATGCACCCGCTGCACATTGGAAATCTCATACAGCACATCTCCCACCTCCCAAGTTTCATTATGGAACGCCTTCCATTAGGCTACAGCCATTGAGTAAGTTCCATTTAGTCACTAATACATATTGTAAAATGTAAATGAAAAATAGCGGTTAAGCCTCCTTCACTAACACTTTGCTCAATGAGCGTCACATCGGAGGAGTCAGGGCACCATGGACATCTATCAATATGTTTCTGTATGGCTACTGTTGCATTGAAGCATTTGCCGCGAATCTCTATCAGCTTTTTCCCAAGTTCTTCTTCAGAAAGCGGAACGATGGTGGCCTGACGGCGACGACTGCGACTCTAGAAAAACTATATTTCCGGAAAATACAAGCTAAATTCCTTGAACCGAAATCTATCAAGAAAAAAGAATTGGTTTACTTCAAGAATGATTTCTCGCCCAGTAATCATTTTTTTTTCTACTGTACTTCATTTAGTTATTCACAATCAATACTTACAATCACAATATCCCTTACAAGGATTGAATAAGAATAAGACGAAACCTTCCCCATTCATCTCCTCAGTTCTCCAGTTTGTTGCTTACGATGATGATACTGTATTCAAGTTTCTTTAATAACAAAACTATTCTAACTCACAAGAAAAAACAATCCCATTACGCAACTGCAGCTGGGCGACAACATTGTCATGTTACTAATAACAATAATTTATGGCCCGAACTCACAAATGCTTCGGTGACCCGCTCCTGGAATACACGAATCGATGGGGTTTGGTCGCAAATTCTCGGAAATCCATAGGTAGGATCAGTGCCGACCACTTGGCATGACAACGTCACGTCTTCGGGTTTACCGGCAGACCAATGAGAGACGAAGGGTCGTGATGAATCCTTAAATAGAAAACGTTTCACTCAGGTTTTCACTCCTTTCTAAATTCTCTCGTCATTCATTGGATTCCAGTCATTTCGCACTATACGTATGTTGAGTAAAAACATCTACAGTGCCTATTTGATCCTCATCCTGAGAGCGCATAAGTTTTAAAGCCTTGCGCCATCGATGATTGACTAATTACGATACTTCACAGCGTTTGCCGCACGATGACGTAACAGAACTAGGATCCTGTGATTTGGTGTTACTAGTTCTCTGGCGTTGTACTGTGCTAATCTACTGGTAATAAAGTCGGCTCGCGAAAAGACTGTTATGGCCGTAAATCCGTTGCGTACAGAATTTTTGGACTCTTGGCGGACTGCTGAGAACAGCTAATTTCAATTAATGAACGAGCTGTCCCTGCCCTATCATAGAACAGCGCTACGGTAGNGCGAATCTCTATCAGCTTTTTCCCAAGTTCTTCTTCAGAAAGCGGAACGATGGTGGCCTGACGGCGACGATTGCGACTCTAGAAAAACTATATTTCCGGAAAATACAAGCTAAATTCCTTCAACCGAAATCTATCAAGAAAAAAGAATTGGTTTACTTCAAGAATGATTTCTCGCCCAGTAATCATTTTTTTTTCTACTGT